TATATTAGTGGTCCGCTTCCCACTTGAGTTCCTGTTCTGACACCCATCACATATACAGGAATTGAGAGCTTGAGAGCTCTTTTCACTGAGTACACAGCAATAAAACCTTGGCAGAGGTTCTAACCTCCCCTGTTCAATTCAAAATGGAAAAAAAAGGAGTACTGGGTAGTGTTTAAAGTTTATGTCAAGGGGAAAAAAAAGCATATGCAGCACATCTCTACCAATGCATGCCCACTCGACGTGTCTTATCCTTTTAAAGACTCTGCAAGTACAGAAAAATATCTGTTGATCTGCCAGAAATGCACTCGGCTCTTTAGTCCTGTTGTGGCCTGACAACACACAGCATTTTATGGACTGGTGGTGTCAGTGTTCCCAGTGTCTTTTGCTAAACTACTCAAACGCTCCCACTCTCAGATCTCTACAGGCTAATCATTCTGTTGTCCATTATAAGAACTAGGAGGGCTCTGTGAGATAACACAGGAAGTGTGCAAAGGACACAGGACAGCTCTGAATTTCTCAACAGTTTTTTTTTTTTGCACTTATTAAGCAGATATGACAAAATGCTTCTAATTGTATATTTAACAAACCAAAAAGGTAGCCAATAAGAGAAGGCTACTACTGGGGTTTTGATACACTTTAACTATTGTCATCTTAGGGGATTTTATAATACGTGGAGTAATTCTACCTAAGAACATAGATCAAAAATGAGAGAATTATGCCGTTTCACGCTACCAGTGGATATGGGTATTTATTCTATAGTATTGTAGGAAAAAAAACATCCCACCTGCCAGTTTTCCATTGGCTATCATATTGGTCGCCACAAGTTTGATGGTGCTTTGAGAGGGTCCAGAGGAAGTGACTGTGGTCACCAAACAGGCCTTTAGTGAATCACAGTAATACTGTGGGTTGTCGGCACTGGTCTCTAGCAGCAGCTGTACAGCTCGATCCGTCTGCAGAAAAAAGATACTGAAAGTTACTACCCGATGCAGATATCAATTGGACTGGACAAAAATAGTTTACTCAATAAGGTGTTTCTATTAGCAGTACTTCATAGCAACCAGATATCTGTTCACTATGGTCAGACAACAGATTATTTTTTCACATTCATTACCCTCTGCTCCCCTTTGCAGAAGCCAGACAACTTCTAAAATACAGTATGGTGAGCGGTTATTGGGGTCCATTTTGTATCACCGCACTGACTTTTTACCTGCAGAAGACAATTCTGTTCAATACAATATATTCCTAGTAAACTAAGTGAAGTGCGTCATCCGTCCTGACTCTCATTTTACTGCATAATTTGTTTAGAGGGGTGTAAAATGTAAAAGACATATTCAGCATCAAAATCATCCATGTAGTTCAGTCCATTTCACATAGCAGTAATAACCTATTGGTACCAAGTGATTTAACCATTTGCTGGCATTTACATCATCTGTGGCACATTGAAATCAGTGTGCTGCAAGTAGGATGACAGACACGGGTTTAGGATGCTTGGCAGCAGGCAAGGACACCAATCATGAGAAAAAAAATAAAGTGTGGGCTGCCATTATTATTATACAGGATTTCTATAGCGCCAACAGTTTGTGCAGCGCTTTACAATATAAGGAAGGCATTACAATCACAATACAAATCAAGACACGTAGGTAAGGAGGACCCTGCCCCTGAGACCTTACAATCTAAAAGGGAGGGGCAAGTGATACATGAGGCGGTAGCTGTGTGGGGATGTATTGTTTGAGAACGTGACGGTTCAGTGTTTAGGTTGAGGTGGGATAGGTTTCCCTGAAGAAATGTGTCTTAAGGGATCGCCTAAAGGCAGTCAGAGTGGGAAATAGATGGGCAGGTTGGGGTAGAGAGTTCCAGAGGATGGGAGAGACTCTAGTGAAGTCCTGGAGGCGAGCATGGGAGGAGTTGAAAAGGGAGCTGGAAAGCAGGAGGTCTTTTGAAAAGCGGAGGGGACGGTTAGGGTGATACTTTGAGACCAGGTTTGAGATATAGCCGGGGGCGGAGTTGTGGATGGCTTTGTAAGTGGTTGTTAATATTTTGAATGTTATCCTTTGGGCTATTGGAAGCCAGTGTAGGGATTGACAGAGGGGTTGTTTTAAAATGTAAAAGACATATTCAGCATCAAAATCATCCATGTAGTTCAGTCCATTTCACATAGCAGTAATAACCTATTGGTACCAAGTGATTTAACCATTTGCTGGCATTTACATCATCTGTGGCACATTGAAATCAGTGTGCTGCAAGTAGGATGACAGACACGGGTTTAGGATGCTTGGCAGCAGGCAAGGACACCAATCATGAGAAAAAAAATAAAGTGTGGGCTGCCATTATTATTATACAGGATTTCTATAGCGCCAACAGTTTGTGCAGCGCTTTACAATATAAGGAAGGCATTACAATCACAATACAAATCAAGACACGTAGGTAAGGAGGACCCTGCCCCTGAGACCTTACAATCTAAAAGGGAGGGGCAAGTGATACATGAGGCGGTAGCTGTGTGGGGATGTATTGTTTGAGAACGTGACGGTTCAGTGTTTAGGTTGAGGTGGGATAGGTTTCCCTGAAGAAATGTGTCTTAAGGGATCGCCTAAAGGCAGTCAGAGTGGGAAATAGATGGGCAGGTTGGGGTAGAGAGTTCCAGAGGATGGGAGAGACTCTAGTGAAGTCCTGGAGGCGAGCATGGGAGGAGTTGAAAAGGGAGCTGGAAAGCAGGAGGTCTTTTGAAAAGCGGAGGGGACGGTTAGGGTGATACTTTGAGACCAGGTTTGAGATATAGCCGGGGGCGGAGTTGTGGATGGCTTTGTAAGTGGTTGTTAATATTTTGAATGTTATCCTTTGGGCTATTGGAAGCCAGTGTAGGGATTGACAGAGGGGTTGTTGCAGACACTGAGTGGTTGGTTAGGTGAATGAGTCTAGCAGCTGCATTCATGATAGACTGAAGGGGGGATAGCCTGTGTAGAGGTAGGCCAACGAGAAGGGAGTTGCAGTAGTCAAGACGAGAGATAACAAGGGAGTGTGTGAGTAATTTTGCGGTTTCATTGGTGAGGAAGGGGCGTATTTGGGAGATGTTACGAAGGTGAAGGCGGCAAGATTTGGATAGCGATTGGATGTGAGGAAGAAAGGTGAGGTCCGAGCCATTGCTGACCTCCTCCAGAAAACGCCATTTGTTTCTGACATCAATAATTTCTGAGTCACTGACCCCAGAAAAGGCACGCAGTAAGTGAAGTCAGAACTCCTGATCTAGAGTTTGTTCCAAAAAGAGATTATATATAATATCTCACCATTAGTACAGGTCTTGTTTAAAGCTGCCCATGTAGTTTACCTGTATAGGTAACAAACTGACACTTAATAATACACTGGAAAATAGTAAATGGGATTCACTTGTGTTGTCTGTGTATTTTCAGAGATCTGTGCACTCACCTGTCCTAGTAGCAATAGTTGGTCTGCACATTTCCTGGTGTGTTCATAGCTGGAGCGTTTCACCTCCTGAAGACAAATTCTGTCCAACTGGAATCTCTGCAGGTAAAGGAAGAGAATAGGCTGTATAGAACCAAATATAGACATCATGCTGTAATATGTCTATTACTGGCTAACAGTGGACTGCATTGAGTACATTATGTTTTAATGCTGACAGTGCTAAAAAAGTGTAAAAAGGAAAAATATGCTCTCACATGCCCTGACCCCAACACACACCTGAGATCTAAATCTTCCCAACCCCGACATAATGCCTTTACACGTTACCTCCCCTTCCCATATACCTTTAACCGAATGCTTAATCCTTAACCTTAAAAATGAAAAAGAAATCTATGGCTTAGCTATTATATAGCAGTTCTCTATAATATCAGCATTCCCATGTATCACATTGCACAATCACAGACCACCTACCTGGAAGTAAGCATTCTCACACAGTAGGTCATAACAGATGTCCAGGGGTTCTGCTGGGATTTTGGGATTATCAGAATTACTTTGGTAAACCTGCAGGTAGTGAGAAGCCACCGTCCAAAAATGAAGCTCAGCTTCATCCCCATATAACCTGCAGAGGAGATTATTGCAAACCATATCAACAATAACAGTGAGGGAACATGACAGGAGGACTCTGAGTCACAGCTGGACAGTAGCCGCCATGTAATAATATGTGCTCTGCAGGCCGGCTTTATCTCGGGAAGTTCTTGTCCTGTTTAAGCCACCCACAGAAGGAGCCATCAGGTATTAGTCGTTTTCAATTAACCTGGCTGTATTGTGTATTACATGGAAGAAGGATGATAGAGGACACACTGACCAAACATAGAAGTTTGTTTTTAACCCTTTCACTGTTATCAGCCTTATATTTTCTATTCCAACTGACCCAGCCAGTCTTCACTTGTGTCAAAAAACACAATCGGCAATATTCACTAACCTAAAACACCCGGATAAGGAAACTTATTTTCAATAAAGTGACAGTAAGCCCTCGTTCACACCTGAACGTTTTGTAGCGCGTTCTACGCTCGATGAACGCTCTACAAAACGCTCAAAAATCTAAATCCCATTGTATTCAATGGTCTCGTTCCCACCTTGGCGTATTTCCGCCCGTCCCTAACACGCTACAAAACGGCCCACGCCTGAAAAGGTACAGGTACTACTTTGGGCCATTTTGTTGCGCGTTTCCATTGGGATACAGCCAAGTAGCCTTCGGAAACGCGCGACGGTCGCGCAACCTTTTTACCGCGAATCGCGGTAAAAAAACGTGCGACAGACGCGCATATCCAATACGCCTAGGTGTGAACGACACCTTAGCTTCAGCTAAGAGTCTATAATATTGGAATGTTGCAGTCACATGGCTGAAAATATTTAGTAAAGCTTTTGAATTAAAAGTAGTATGAACACCCCATTCATAAAAGCCACTTTTTTAAGAGGAATACTTATATGACTACATGACTACATGGAAACCTGAATGTACCTTGCCACCAATAGACACCTCTGTGTGAGCCTGAAATCTGGGTCTAGAAGAAGGTCCTTCACATCACTGCAAAGACATACAAAACAGTAATTATACTTATATTACCAATGTACTGTAAATGTAGTTTTCAATCATGGCGACAGAAGTAAACACATTCTTCAAGTGGAAATCCATTTTTGGATAGAGTGGCTCTGTAAAGTTGTTATTGTTTCTTTATCCTCACTGGGGATATACACTTACTTCTTGTCCAGAAGAGCACACAGCAAGTGAGGGGGGTAATAGAGCATTTCAAAGTCTTTCCCACCCTATCCAAAAGTTTAAAGACAACTTTTGGTTGGAGTTTCACTTTAACAGAATGACCCTGGCAATACATGGAGAACTATTAACACATCACATATTCATTTTCTAGTTTACATTCACTTTAAAAAGCATTTTTCTGTATGTGGATGTGAATCTGGTACTTGGCAGTAGCCCTATTTCTGGGGCAAATTTACTAGGATGTTCATTTTCATTCAATGGGAGGAATTTATCAAAGCACTTGCGACAGTTTTAGCCTGTTAGATCATTTTTTTTATGTGCAAATTTGTCTTTTTAACATGTGCCCCTGTTTTCTTCAGAGCGTGCACTACTTTTCCAACTGCATGTGTTTTGCACCTATTTTCTTAAGAGCTTGCGGTACTTTTTCAACTGCATGTTTTTTGCACTTTTTTGCACGTGTTTTCATCTGCACTTGTTCTGCGGCTGTCTGAAACTGGAGCATTACCTAAGAAAACACTCACAACTTAAGAAGTCCCCATGACCACTTCTTTAAGATACGGCAGTTAAGCTTTAGGCCTGAAGTTAGAAGTCTTCATTCTTGGAGTCTAATAAACCTAATTTATGAACAACATTACACTAGCTTCATAAATCTGGTGCAAATATATTCTGTGCAAGTTCAAACACTCGCAATTGCTTTGATAAATTCCCCCCACTGTGTTTAATGAAGAAAAAAAAAACACAGACAGATGAAACTTCAAGCCTAGTTCTTTTCAGTGTTTGTATGTGCAATCCTTTAGCAGGCTGTAAGTGGACAGATGGCCACAGCAGCACATTTATGTCATCAGTGATCGCAGTACAAAACATTGACTCCAAGTTAGGTCATTCATGACGGTATACTTGCAAACATCTGCAACTCACTTGGTCAGAGAGTTTATCTGCTGCTGGATCAGGTTCGTCACATCTTCATGTTCTGGATAGACCCTGCCATTAAAAAACATTCATTAGTCAACTTGGCTTTTGAATTCAAAAAGCATAGAAAATAGTGGTACAAACTGAAAGACATAACTGCAAAATCACTAACATCTCTTTTCCTGCAGGTACCACTATTGGACTGTGAAAGCCTTGAAGCATATGTGTTGATGCTCTGACAATAACCAAGAACTGGATAGCATCACCAATAGAAAAGAATCGTCTTTAGGGCGTACAACCAAAGTGTCCAAGTGTATGAAAGCCGCTCACAATTGCAGCATCACAACCAAATTCCACATTTTCTGATGCAGGTCAGAATCAAGTTGGCTGCCGTGCAGTAACACACTTATATTTTTGATAGTTTGATAAATAAGGCCCAGTGCATCATTGCTCTATTTCCCAACTTGGCGTATGTTTGCATTACAAAGAATACGTGCATAATAAAACTTACACATCTGTAATGTCTAAGGAGTGTTTCTCCCCCCAAGGCAGGTGAAGCAGGAAAGCTTTTAACACCAGAGAGGCTCTTGGAAGCAGCATGTATGGGCACCACACGGGATCTGAAAACACAAATACAGTGTTCTTAATTACTGTAATTATCTTCTACTTCAAGCTGAACTACAGGCAGGTGTGAAAAAAAATGCCAACTTGTGATTAATTCCCAGCGCTCACAAGGGCAGAGCCAATGATTGGTTACTCTGTCCAATGACAGCTCAGATCACAGTCACTTATGGGCAACCTGGTCTGCCGGTTGTGTTTTTGGAAGTGCCGTTTATCAATGGCATTATGGAAGTGGTTATACTTTTAAAATTAATTCTACTAGAATAAGCACTGATCGGTTTTCAGGAAAGCCTCATATGATCCCCCTCTAGATTAGAACTCTCTGGGTATGGGATGGTTAGAATTTTGCAGCAACCAAGCCTTGCTACATCCACATGTGCAGACATGGAACATGCTGACAGAAGGAGAAAGAAGACCTGATAAGTCTGCTTATGTTACTCTATTGCCCAATCACAGTCTGGTGTTGGAGTGGTGACCAAGCAGTATTGCTGATCTGCAGCAAAGAAATGTCAGGGCATCAACCAGATTGTGTGATGTCTGCCAAAACTGGGTAATCTCAGGACTGGTTGGAGAAAATGACAAACCCCGTGTATTTCAACTGTGAATTTACCATTTGTCTGGAGTTCAGCTTAAATTTAAAAAAAAGACGAACTAAAAAGTATTTTGTAGAACTATGATCCTGTACCAAATGCAACATGAAAAAAATCTCTGATCCCTCATTGGAACAGCAAATCTGAATGTGCATAGGTAGATTAGAATGATCACTGATCACTTGAGTATGCTCGTTTGTACAAATTGCAATGGACTGCCAAGCAGATTTAAGGTTTGGCTAATCTGCACAAAGAGGCATCAGTGTCTCAATTTACAAATTGCTGATTTGCCAGCAAATAAGGTACTTGTGAGTTTGTTTGTTCAGATCTACCTGCAGAACATTTAAACCAGAGTGCATGAAGTTTACTGTATATATGGATTCTCTTTAGCACAAAATTCACTCCGCATAGAACTAGAGTTCAACAAATTCCACAGGTAATACTGACCAATAAACCCATATGTAGCCTGCTAGCTGTAAGTCAGTACAAAATGAATGGCCACCCTGTGTTACCTGTAGGGTCAGTAAACATAAACTCCTATGCTGCCTGTAATCCACTTAGCTAGGGCCATTTAGAGCAATAGATTGGTAATTCACCACTACAGGTCCTGAGAAAGCTCAGTGAAGCCCAGCGGAAATCTGTTGGCTGAAGAGCGCCTGCATACAATCAGATGTAGGTACTGGTCAGGTATTCAGGTAACCGTCCCCTCCGCTCTTCAAATGACCTTCTGCTTTCCAGCTCCCTCGTCAACTCCTCCCTTGCTCGCCTCCAGGACTTCACTAGGACATCTCCCATCCTGGAACTCTCTACCCCAACCTGTCCGTCTATCTCCCACTCTGACTGCCTTTAGGCGATCCCTTAAGACTAATTTCTTTAAGGAAGCCTATCCCACCTCAAACTAACCGCTCAACCATTGCGTTCTCAGACAATTCATCCCTACACAGCTACCTCCTCATGTATCACTTCCCCCACCCTTTAGATTGTAAGCCCTCATGGGCAGGGCCCTCCTTCCCATCCTGTCTTGAATTGTATTGTAATGTCTTTCTTATATTGTAAAGCGCTGCGAAAACTGTTGGCACTGTATAAATCCTGTATAATAATAATAATTTGACAGGTATCAGGGCCAACTGTCAAAATAAAATAGACGCAGCTGGAAATTCCTCCATCCACACTTTTGAGAATAAATGCAGGAATCAAAACTGTTTTCATTCATTTATTCATTATCCTTACGTTATATACCAAGCTTAAGGATAACCTTCCATCCTCATTATTACAAAAGGGAAAAAACAAAACAAAACAGAATACAGATCAGTCGTCTCCCCAGTCTGCTGCCTAGAGAAAAGATTAAGCTTGAGCAGGCCATACATTATGCTAATTTCCTGAAGAACCAAACAAAATGTGCACAGTGGGTTTCAGTGGACATCCCTTGATCGGCTGATTGAAGGAACCGGTTGGAGAATCTCCAGATGAAATGAGCCAGTGCCCGTTGAGCTGCCGGCTCTGTTTGCGTATTCTGGCTGTGTAATCTACTGCTTTACCTGATCAGCAATTCTAGGCAGTGAGATTACAAAGGAACCTACTACTACATCTTTTTAGATGTTTAGTTCTGATCAATCCTGAAAACTTACTCCTATACACAGGGCACAAACTCACCACAACATACACAAAGGGAAATTGCAGGAATGAATGTTCTTGCATAGAGGGAAGTAATCGGAGTCCATACATTTTTCTCATCATTTGGATGTTCCCTGAATCTGACAGGTCATAATTAACTCTTCAAGCTTGATTGTGCTGGTTTCTACAATAGCAACATGTATGTCAAATTACCTATCAGCTCCTGTTCATCCATTCTGAAGCTAGGAGACTTCATGGACATCTCCAGTACACGGATGCAGCCGTCATCACAGGCCAGGATGACTTTGTCTGATGAGCACCAGTCTACATCTAAGACTCGATAATTCACGTTCCTCCCAGTACGAAGGCTGCTCACCATCTGAATCTGAGGGAAACAAAAAACACAGCATTATGTACACAATATAAGTGCAGTAAACACATTCCTGGTATCCAGGGCTGGATTTACTCTCTCTGCTGCCCCAAGGCAAGGTTCCTCAATGTGCCACCGTACCTGTCAAAGCCCCCCCCCATGGAGAATGGCAGACCTGTAGACTGCACACAAGTAATCTCGGTCTTCCCCGCTGTACCTTTAGCTCTGCTTGCCCAAAGCAGGGCTAAATGTAGAAAACAACTACCTGCCCAGCGCCAGGAGATAGGAATTCCACACCCCTGCTGCCCCGAGGCTGGGCCTTGGTTGGCCTTGCTTGTGGGAAATCCGGCCCTGCTGGTATCCACATGCAGAGAAATGCAGAATAATGTAGAAAAGAAGCACTGTTCGTATTGCCCATGTAAACCTACATTAGCACAGGCATAGAATCTGGTTGCTATGGGGAACACAGACAGATCTTCTTTCAGACTATAGTAAAAGACAGCATAGTGGCCACAATAGTAATACCATTAAATTACATTATTGCAATTTTTTGCTGCCTAGTTATTCAAAGATTTTTACAACTTTTAATTTGTATTATGTTAAATATTACTTAAAATGAATGTAAATCAATTAAGTGCACAACATACATAAAATTTCTTCCTATGTAATTTGAACACCAGTGACACCTGCAGGGCAATCAGACAAAACCCCAACTATGAAATATAAAAAGGAATTATCCTTTGAATATCACAAACTGCCTCTTTGTAACAATGCTCTGACATCATCCAATTAAATACACACACACTTTATATTATATATCTATCATCAAGAACACTAGGGTGGTCTTAAAGAAAAAAAACACTTATCCTTTTTGCCATACATTGAAGGACTAGTTATTCGTAGTAATGATATGCTGCGCCGGTACTGCGGAACTCTTAGCATTTCATAAAAGTCAAAGGTCTTGCAAAAGTTACCTCCTTGGTATCCCAAACCTCGGCTCCATCATTATAAAGCACAATTAGCTTCTGGTTTCCTTTTCCTGGAGCAAATCGGATTTTCCGCACACAGTTCCTGTGTGTAGGTACTCCCCTAAAATGAACCAATAATAACACATCAAAATGTTCACTGCTAAGCACACATTGCAATGCAACATAGCTATTAGCATGCTTACAAAAGGTCACTTATCTCATTAACCCACTTTGAGCATTACATTCAGTACCAGGCAGCAATAAAAGTCACTCACTGCTGATGAATTTGAATTAGAAATGAATCTGGGTGAACAGATGCATCACAGATCAATGGGTTTTTACTCAGCTTTAGGGATAACAGATATTTGTAGATTTGATTTGGAAACTTGTTCAACATAAAGCACCGTATTAAAAAAGATACAATAATGCGCTTTAATAATTAATGCACTTTGAATATCAAATAGTTTAATTCCTGCAATATGACATATAGACTCAATTTAGAATCATAAGGATGGTCCCTGGTACATTACAATAGTTATTACATATGGAAGACTGTTTTCATGCTCATGGGGACCTTTCCAATTCTCTTTTCCATACAAAAAAACATCTAATTGGTTGTTGCTATGGGCAACAAGAATAGTGTTTGCCACTTTAACAAGTTCTGATGTCCTGATGCTAAGTGGATCCGCAGCTTGTGTCAGCTACAACAGGGGTCCCCAACCCCTGGGCCGCGGACAGATACCGGTCCGAAGGCGTGTCAGCATGAGCTCACTCCGACCATCCACAGTGCAGCAATGGAGTGATCTCTTTGGCTCTGACATTGCAGCCGTCAGAGCGGGAGCCAAGCTGAGGGAAAGGAGACGGGGAGACGCCGCACCTGTGAGGATGCCTGGAAGACAGCCAAGAGCTGACTGCTAGAAATGGTAAGTGATAAGCTGGCCATACACCTTACAATTATCTGCAGATGTTTCTGTGGTCAGATGGAAAAGGTGGAACAGATTCCTCCATCTACACTTACCTGTGTGGATGGAGTAATCTCCACGTGGGCCAATTTTCCCATCTGACCACAGAAAATCTGCAGATAATTGTAAGGTGTATGGTCAGCTTAAGCAATAGGGCTGTTTCTACAGGCACTGGGACACCGAGTCGCTACAATGGAAGCCGTTAACCAAGTGCACAAAGAGACAGACCAGCTACGGTTATTCACATGGCTGTCCATTAATGACCTCTCCAGCTCAGATCCTCAGCTCTTCAGGCCTTGTAAAGACCAAATCAGGTGGATTTGAATATCAAATAGTTTAATTCCTGCAATATGACATATAGACTCAATTTAGAATCATAAGGATGGTCCCTGGTACATTACAATAGTTATTACATATGGAAGACTGTTTTCATGCTCATGGGGACCTTTCCAATTCTCTTTTCCATACAAAAAAACATCTAATTGGTTGTTGCTATGGGCAACAAGAATAGTGTTTGCCACTTTAACAAGTTCTGATGTCCTGATGCTAAGTGGATCCGCAGCTTGTGTCAGCTACAACAGGGGTCCCCAACCCCTGGGCCGCGGACAGATACCGGTCCGAAGGCGTGTCAGCATGAGCTCACTCCGACCATCCACAGTGCAGCAATGGAGTGATCTCTTTGGCTCTGACATTGCAGCCGTCAGAGCGGGAGCCAAGCTGAGGGAAAGGAGACGGGGAGACGCCGCACCTGTGAGGATGCCTGGAAGACAGCCAAGAGCTGACTGCTAGAAATGGTAAGTGATAAGCTGGCCATACACCTTACAATTATCTGCAGATGTTTCTGTGGTCAGATGGAAAAGGTGGAACAGATTCCTCCATCTACACTTACCTGTGTGGATGGAGTAATCTCCACGTGGGCCAATTTTCCCATCTGACCACAGAAAATCTGCAGATAATTGTAAGGTGTATGGTCAGCTTAAGCAATAGGGCTGTTTCTACAGGCACTGGGACACCGAGTCGCTACAATGGAAGCCGTTAACCAAGTGCACAAAGAGACAGACCAGCTACGGTTATTCACATGGCTGTCCATTAATGACCTCTCCAGCTCAGATCCTCAGCTCTTCAGGCCTTGTAAAGACCAAATCAGGTGGATATTTTCCTGTCAGAGAGTCTTTATTGATAAAAATAAAAGCCAAGCTTGTTTTGAAAAGTCCCTCTGCACCCCTCCTGAGACCCTCTGCACTCACCCCCATCCCCGTTCCTTGGGAACATTTTCTTCCACAAGACTGGTCCCTGGTGTCAAAAAGGTTGGGGACCGCTGTGCTACAGTATTCCACACATTTGTAAAAGTTAATGTATACACATATGGTGATTACAGATTGTCTAAACCATGCATAAGTCACCGTAAGGCACGGTTCACACCTGGGCGTTTTGTAGCGTGTTCCTACGCTCTGCAAAATGCTCAAACACCGAAATCCCATTATTTCCTATAGGTATGGTTCACACCTGGGCGTATTACAGGCCGTATGAACGTGCTACAAAACGCCCTATGCCGAAAGAAGTACAGGAGCTTCTTTGGGGCGCATTTGCCGCGAGTATCCATTGGGATACAGCCAGGTAGCCCTGGAAACGTGCGTTTGTTGCGCGGCTTTTTTAACCGCAAACCGTGGTAAAAACATGCGGCACGAAACGCGCGACAAACGCGCATATTCAATACGCCCAGGTGTGAACCCAGCCTAAAACATCGTTCATGTCATTTATCAATATATCAATTTATACAATCCAGGTTTGACACAGGAATTTTTAAAGGCCACTCAAAATTGCCATTTCAGTTTTCATTAAACAATGTCAGCCACTAACTTCGAAGATCTCTCTGGGACTGCGGTGGCAAGTTCTCTGCATCACAGTTTTCAGTTCTACAACTAGGACATTGCAGTAGGGCAAAGACCAGGTTGTCCATTCATCACACAGAAGGCGGTACAACAAATGTGTTCAATACTGAAAATGTAACATTCCCATTAATGTTTTCTATGACCATCTATATGACTTCTAATGTGTATCTACATAACCTTGGACAGGCTCAGCATGTAGAACTTAATCTTTCCAATCAACTAACTTCAAATTAAGATTCCAGAAAAAACAAACATTTTCAAGTGTACAAATGACAGTTTAGATATGCTTACAAACATCCTTCCAATATTTCTACAACTCTGTGCTCTGAATTTATAGATCAAATTTACAATATAAATCAGACAGGTGATGAAATAATAATGCCTCTTACCTGGATATACGGGCTTTCAGGTCCCAGAAGTTTAGGTTCCCATCAACATCGCCCAAAACCAAGATGTCTCCCTTCCAGGCAATGCATGAAATGCTCCCCATGCTGCCCTGTACAATTCAGACACAATTCTGTTCAATTCAAAACTGCTGAGTAGCAGCATATCATTTGCTCTATACAAATGAAACTATATTCCCCAATCATACGATAGATTTCATTGTAAGAATGCATTGATCTTCCCTCTCCCAGTTCTACCATACAAAAAGGTGTACAGGGGCCAATACCAGACAAATTCAGGCACTCAAGTTTACTAAGTAGTATCATAAGAGCATTGCACACCCAATAGTAGAAAACACACACACACACACACACACCAGGGGTGCCAAAAAATGTATACATATTGTAAGAGATGTTATCCATGTATTACATTTCGAAGAACATGGTACGAGAGGCTGAGGAGTTTGTGGGGAGCACTTTGAGCACCCCTTGCGGTTGCAGAAATCAAACGTGACTTGTATTCATCTTTTGTTATTGGTATGTATTGAATATTACAATTTTAATACAGTTTTTCCTTTCTTAAAATATGTATACATTGCTTTGGCACCTGGTGTGTGTGTGTGTGTGTGTATATATATATATTAGGGATGTCCCGGTGCCACTTTTTCAGGCCCAAGTACAAGTACATCCCCTCATGTACTTGCCGATACCAATTACCGATACTTTTTCTTAAAGGGACAGGTGACTTTAAATGATCCATAGTACAACTACATGTTATGTACTATGGATCATGATTTAACCTATTCATGTTAGCAGGGGAGAATTGTAACTCTATTGCTGGAGTGTAGTGGAGGTGTGTGCTGTATATATGTACTACATATACATTACACACGTCCAGTACATTATAGCAATAGATTTACAGCCAGCCCCGTCCCAGCTTCCCTTACTCACAGTTTCACTCCGATCCCCGTAGCCTCATGCGGTGCCTCTTGTAGTCGGCGCTGGGCAGGATCGCTGCATCGCATCTCGGTGCTCAGCTTGTGGGAGGCGCTCACAATTCTGCCCTGCTAACATGAAT